AAAATTTACTGTATTACCATGATTGTATTAGTTGATACTTTGATCCAGTATTTATGGTGTCACATACACTGAATGTGTACTCATAATTAAACAAGTTAATAATCATTACTGAATATCCAGTAATATAATTTCATCACTGTATATAACAGGTAACGACAACTGCTAATGCCTAATTGAAACTTTCTAAATATTTTATGAAATTGATCTCCATTAGCTAAAATATTTTTCAAAATATACTTCACTTGATAAAACATTCACTTCCCAGTGGTGAAAAATTAACATACATACATATTAATAATCCTTAGAAAAAACCCTTTAGCCAGGTATATATTTCATAGCAGCCACCCTTGAATGCTTTTGTGAGGTAAACATTCAACTTGATTTGAAAAATATGTTACTTTTAAAAAAACTTTTCTTTCCTCTCCTATCTTGATATATCTTCTACAACAGGGATTTTCAACCAAGGGGGCTTCAGGAAAGAACATGGTCAGCCTTTTATTTATATGTATATTAAGTATTTAGTTTTAGTTCATGAATATCAAAATCTACTTTTGTTCAAGTTTTGGCCCTTATCAACATTTTCTACACTTTTGTGTTTAATTTATAAAACAAGTTGAAACATAGTCTGAATCTAAATAAATGTATATGCATTTTTCAAGAGTTGGAGAGGGGGGGGGAAGGATTTTCTAGCAATGGCGAAAGAAAGAGATGCATGGGGCAGAATAGGTTGTTTTATTATTTTTAATACATCTATGTTATAGTATTTATTATAATTAAAGCCATGCCTTTCAGATACTTTTATAATTGATGAATCAAAGTAATATCCTTTTAATCTTCATTCAAAAACACATTACCATCATAAATATTCATCTAAAATGTGTAGGTAGGAAGTATTTTTGTGTTTCTTGTGAAAGGGAAGGCCATGAAGTACTGTACTTCCTTTGTATTCTCAGATCAGTCATGCTACTGTAACATTTATGTTCTCAAAACCTGCACACTGTATTATCATTTTCCAGGTTACAACTTTAGTTTGGCTAAAAAGAAAAATAAATTCACAAATGTTTTATTGCTCAGAACTCATAAGTTCACAAAATGTTGAGTAGATACTAAAAATTAAGAAAACTTGAAAACAATACAAATCATACTATGCAACCAACTCCACAAGCCACCTGTTTGTATTTAATGATCTTTTGCACATGTTGGTTCATAAAGATAGGACACGTTTCGCAAAGATTTAAGAATATTTGCATAAGCATTTATATTCCTGTATTAGCTAATTCTGTTTCAAAGTTATCAGACATTATGTCAGTAAGAACTGCATGTTACAATTCAGAAATATTCAAGAAACACAATTAGGTGTTTATCATGTTTCAAAATTAGCAAAGCTTTTAAATAAAAAAAAAATATTTAAGTAAATTGCCAAGGGTTTCTTATTTCAACAATAATGCTTACTTACACGAATAAAGAAATAGCGGTGGTACTGTTATGGATCATCGAGTTCAGAAATGTATGTATGCGTTTAGTATGCATGTATGTGTTCATTGTATGCATAAGTACAAATATATATGTGTGCATACAAATACACATATAAGCACATACATACCAACACAGTTCATACATTTCTGAATCCAGTCCCTTGATAATAGAACAGTACCAAAATAACTGTTACTGCTTTTGCTCAGTATCCGAGGAAGCATATTCCTTGGATGTACGAATTGTATTGTAAACTTTTCTATACTTTTTTATAGCTAATAAATAAAGCTTTTCCTTCAGATTTTCTTTTTTGGTTATACTTAAAAACGGATTTTAATAGCAGTTAACTGAAAATAAGAGAAGCAACATACTGCTGTTTACAATAATGTAAAAATAAAGCAGTAATTGGAAAATACAGAACTATGGATTTTTACTTGACTCTTAATCTATACAATCTCCTCATGGTAATGGTAAAAAGCATGAAAAAAAAAAAAAAGAGGGAATGAGACTGTAAGCTGTCAAACTATTGGGGTTATAGAAAAGTATAGTTAGTTTTTTGCTATTGCGTGGGCCTTCAGCCCACTTCAGGATCAATATAGGGATCAAACCTCACTACTGCATCATAACAACTAATTCGTTGGAAATTTGGATCATTAGATATGTTTTGTATTTCCTAATGCAAATCACAGTACAGATATTTATAGGGCATTCAGTACGATTTGAGGTACATTATGAATGCAGGTGCTACCAGGATAAAAACATTTATCTTTTCTGCTACGCTTACACATTTCAAGAGTAATATCAACATGGTAGTTACAGATATGGCACTGTTTGACTTTTTGTTTTTACTTATCAGAGATTATTAGCAAATAAGGCATAGTTTGAAATTATTATACACACAATGTGATTTCAAAAATTATAATTAGTAATTATTAAAAAGACACACAAATTCTGTTTTTTTCAAATGACAATTATGTTTCAAAAGCAAAACAACGTGAGTTGCTTATTATTGAGTAAAATTATGAATTACAACATGAGTAAATTATGGAATTCCGAGTCTCAGTTTGGCCATGCTTGATCTGTACATAAAGTATATGGCATATAAAATAAAAAAATAACTTCTAAGAAACAGTATATTCTTAATTTCTTTTAAGATTATGTTCTGAAAATTATTCAGATTTTTGAAGTTTTCAAAAAACAACACTTTTTTTTCACTTTCATACAATATATAAATTGTTATTTCAGTGTCGATGAAGTATCAGACTTTCAATACTCAGCTACATAAATTTTCTATCCATAAAAATTGTTTTCTTACTTTTTTATCAGCAACTAATAACAGATTTTATTTTAGATACAAAAATGCACTCAGATATATACATCTGCTTTACCACTCAGAAATAATACTTCAGCGATTTTCGTGGCATGGGCTATACTTTCACATCATTTTGAGTTTATTAACTTTTTTAGAATATGGTCACTTTTATCTGGTTGCATGTGTAGTCTCCCTTTTATTTTATGTTTATTATCACTGTCTTTAAAATATATTGAACTCGCATTATCTACATTGATTATATATTCTTTATGAAAATGAATACACAAAATAATGCATAAGACAATTAACATTATATAACATTACAGAACTAATTCTAGAATGGCTACTACGTGGAAGGCTATCAAATACTGCATATTTAAAGTAAATAATAGAAGCATATTTCTATCGTAGTTATATTAGAACTGAATAATATGAGATTATAGTATAGTGTAACAAGTAGCTAGTTATCTGATACACATGTAGATCATATGAGTAGGAATGTGATATATTATATAAAATCGGACCGAAAAGTAATTGCCCTGCGGTTTCGCAATAGACGGACATTACTCGACTTCTAATGCTAATTTAGCAACATAACATAACCAAATTAGCAATCGGATACCAAACAAATATAAACACATCTTAAACCCGTTTTTCCCCACGTATTTTCCTTTTCTTCCCACATGATATTTACTTCCGTTGGCATAACGAAATGTCGCCCATATCTTGGCCCATATCTCGCCCAACTTGGCGCAACCAAGGCTGTTCTCCTAACCTTATCCAAACAGCAGTACTACTTTCCAGCCAATGAAACCAGTCGAACGACCCTCCCCTTTCCTTCCCAGATGCTCCCATCAGATGTGTGTGTATGTGATTATGGCAAAACCTCGAGGGCTATCTGCCTAAGAGGAGGGATGCCTTCGTGGAGGACTTTCTAAGGGAAACTGGCTCGTATACACGTTACACATGGGGAAAACCACAAAACGCCCAAGCAGCCAGCCCGTTCGCAAGATTCGAACCTCGGACCGAACTACCAGTGTTCAGCGACTTTACCGCTCGGCCGCTGGTGGGCCCCCCATCAGATGTGAAGAAAGAGAAAGCGCTGCTTTCGGAAGCTTCAAACTATATGGCGATCTTCGACGATTTTTACCATGTTTGAGCTAACCGTCCGACGTCGTATTCAGCATTTCTTATAATCCTATAACCAGATAAAAATATTAAAATAAATTTTATCTGAATGAAGTTTTCTTATTAGTGAAACAGTTAAATTATGCAAGTACATAAACGAATGCACTTTGAAACTTTGCTTTAATCTGTTTACAAACGCTAGTCAAAGTTTTGTTTACGTTACTTTTCGCCCTTCAGCGCATGCTCAAGAATTACCATCCAGGAGAAACTAGTCGATTTCTCCATGACGTCAAAATTCGAAAAGTTGGGTAGGTTTTGGAAATACGCTTACCGTACACATTTCGCGTTTGCTATGCAAACTCTTTCATTCACACCTATGGTTAATTTTCTACCTTGCGGAAGGAAAGACTTACTGCAAAACAGGAAGTCTTTGCCAAGTTGCCAACTGCAAATAATCTCTTAGAAGAAGAATGAAAGCTTCCATAGACGTAACAAAGAAAGTCTATCTCAACTGTGAGAAACGCAAGTAACGAAATTTGTATTTTTGGGTACGTTGCTTAGAGTCAGACTCGGTTAGGAGTATCAAATCATTTGGAAGAAGCAGTATTTTGAAAGAGCAAACCATGCAGAACCCTTCAGGAGAAAAACCTCATGTGTGTGATGTATGTAAGAAAATATTTACTCGAAAGTATATTTTAAACATGCATATGCTTATTCACACAGGAGAGACACCGTATGCATGTGAAATATGTAAGAAGCCATTTAGGCATAAACGTTCTTTAAATAGGCATAAGCTTATGCATACAGAAGAGAAACTCTATGTGTGTGAAATATGTACGAAGTCATTTATTAGTAAGAGTAATTTGAATGACCATATGCTTATTCACACAGGAGAGAAGCCATTTGTGTGTGAAGTATGTACGAAGTCATTTAGACATAAAAGTAGTTTGGACGTGCATATGCGTGTTCACTTAGGAGAGAAGCCATATGTATGTGTAGTATGTATGACACCGTTTAGAGATAAAAGTGGTTTAAAAACGCATATGCGTGTTCACTCGGGTGAGAAGCCGTATGTGTGTGAAATTTGTATGAAGGCATTTAGACATAAGTGGGGTTTAAACTTGCATATGCATATTCACTCTGGAGAGAAACCTTATGTGTGTGAAGTATGTAATAAAACATTTGGTCAAAAGAATAAATTGAAAAGGCATATGCTTATTCACATGGAGCAGAAACTTCATGTGTGTGAAATATGTGAGAAGTCATTTAGACGAAGGGATAAATTAACTGAGCATGTGCATATTCATACAGATGATAAACCTTATGTGTGTAAAATATGTAGAAATTCATTTAAACGTAAGAGTAATTTAAATCAGCATATGAGTAGTCACATGCTAGAGAAACCTTATGTGTGTAAAATATGTAAGAAGTCAATTAGTCGAATTTCGAGTTTGAAGGTGCATATGCGTATTCACACAGGAGAGAAACCTTATGCATGTGAACTATGTTCCAAGTCATTTAGATTAAAGGCTGCATTAAATCAGCATATCCTTATTCATACAGGAGAAAGTTTAGTTAAAACTGTAGTTTGAAGCACATATGCATATTCGCACGGGAGAGAAAGCGTATATATATGATATATGTATGATGTTTAGATAAAAGTATGGTTTAAATGCACATGTGCATAATGGCACAGTATAGAACCCTTACGCTTGTGAAGTATGTAAGAAGTCATCGATTCAAAAACAGGCTGAACTAACATTTGCTTTTTTGCATTTCTGTCAATTATGCATGTGTAATGTGTCTACGAGCCAGTTTCCCTTTGAAAGTCCTCCACGAAGGCATCCCTCCCCTTAGGCAGATAGCCTTAGTGGGCTTTGCCAGAATTAAACAAACAAAACCTGTCAATTATGCAACAAGTCATTAAGCAGATAGGGTAATTAAAGAAGCATATTCCTACTGACACAGGAAAGAAATATTTTGTGAGAGTAAGTAAAAAATTTTTATTCCAAAGTGTGATTTTTGTATGTATCCACAGAGGAGAGAAATCTTGCAAATTATGTATGTAAAAGTCCACCTTTTAAAGGATGGTTTAAGTACATATCCATAGAGACCAGAAATCTCATGATTCATGTATGCAAATTACTTTAACATTCATTGTGATTTAATAATTGCAATTTAAGTATCTATGTAAAAGAGTAGTCTCACAAATCATGAATGTAATAATTTTGTTGTAGAATCATCTTTATCTAGTTCCTAGAAAAGTCTTTTGAGGATTATATTAGTAACAACCTTTAATTACCAATGCATTAGGGACTTGTCTTTGCAATGAAGAAACCTCAATATGTAAGGTAAAAGCTAGTTCAATTGCACTTGGTGGTAGAATTCTTAGAATTTAGAGATGGGGTCAGTGGCGGAATTTAGGGTTTGTTGCCATTACATCAGGTGGTGTAGAGCTGACTTTTGATCCTATGTGAGTTATATAAATTGTCAGTTGTTCAAAATAAATAATAAACTATTTATTTGGGAAGCACTTCCGCAGAGGACCCGTTAAATGTAAACATCGCCAAAATTGGCGATAACAGTTCAAAGTTGGTAACCTGGCGAATTCGGTGGTCCTAGGTAGCAACCTGATTCTTCAAGCGCTTAGACAACGAATCTGTTCTCGTATGTTCTGTGCATGCTCCGTTTTGCCACTGGCTGGTGGTGCATCACTACCGGATGAGCAGGTGAAATTACGGCGGGAGTGGGGGGGCTTATTGATAATTGGTAACATGCCTGTTTAGAGTAGTATGACCGTGTTCTTAATAATTAAAAGACTAAACACTCAGGACCATAGGGTACCCGAGTCCTAAAACATGATTAAAGTGGGCTGCAATAATATAAGGTTTAAATAATTAACTAAAGTTTTTATTTTTATTATCTATTTTTATCTAAAATAATAAGTATACATCACTTTTTCATGCTTAAAAATTTGACATATTTTTAATGTATCTTCTTTTTTAATGTATAAATTACCTTTCAGAAGATGCTAGGGTGTTTATATATGATAGGCGTTTTATTTTTTTTTAATTTTATATGCTTTAAAATCACGGATCACCCGTTTAATTATCTTGCAATATGTTTGTTTTAATATATCTAATAATATAACTTAATTTCTATGCTTTAACATATCATGTTTAAGCTTTTGATAATTTTTTTTCTGCGGCTAACTCAAATTTAGATGCTTTTTATATGTTTCTTTAATTTGTATTACGGTTAACCTTTTTAAATATCTTGTAACGTTACTGTACACCGCTAAACTCATGGCCGATTAGCCGTTGACGAGCTTGGCGAGAAAATACGTTTCGCCGCCAACGGATCCTCTCCGGAAGAAAAGAGAAAAAGAAGAAGTCTCTGCAAGAGAAAAAGAAGAAAAAGAAAAGCAAGAGAAAAAGAAAATTCTGCAAGAGAAAAAGACCTCTCTGTGCCAGATAAATCTCAAGCCAGTTTAAAGAAATAATCACTTGAAACAAATTTGCTTATTTATCCAATTTTCATTTGAATTCAGACTTTATGGGTTTTTCATCTCCTCTAGCATTTCCTAGAGTGTAATCCTTTGTATTGCTTTGCGTTTTTCACATCATTTTGTAAACAGTATGACGGTATGAAATGTATTATTTTGTAGTGTAATCTTTATGTTAAAATTTGGCTAACCTTTGGAATATTGTAACAGGTAGTTTGGTGACAGTTTGGTAAGGCGATAAAGGTTACTAGCTAGGACTTTAGCAGTGTACATGGATAAAGTCAAGAGTGTGCGCAATGCCATTTTTGTGCAATTCTGGGATGTTTTTTTAAATGAAAATAGTTCGACATGTACATGGATACAGTGTATGTGCAATTCTTAAAAATACGGCAAGCAGTGGGCGATTCTGCACGTTCTCCCAATTTCGCACCTAATCTTCATCATGATTAAGCACTTTTGTTCCATAAAAGTTCTAGCATAAGCGTAATTCGGCGGAACAGCTTTAGTATTGGTCCTTTTGGCTATTTTTTGAGTTGGCGACAAACTTCGGTCGCCAATGTATACCCGGCTTTAAAGATCGGGAAGAAATGGCGTATTGTCAACAAAACCCGATCTAGACTAAATAACAATCCTAAAAAATAAGCTCTTGATCAGAATAGTGGTTGCTCTTTACATTATGGTAACTTGGCGATTTTTTGGCGAAAATTTGGCAACCAACTCTCCTACAGCAACCCTCTATTTTTTTTCCCCGCCGCCATTTTGTCTTCACGAAGTAGTAAAGACATGTTTCTTTTCTTTTTATCTACTGAACACTTCTTCCAACAATCTACTAGCTGAATTACACTATGCTAGAAATTTTACAAACAAAACTGCTTAATCATGACAAATATTCACTGCAAAATTGGGAAAAGTGCACAATACCATACTCCTTACGCCGTTTTTCAAAATAACACATACACATAAACCATGTACCACGCCGACTTATTTTAAAAAAAATCCCAAAATAGCACAAAATGGCATTGCGCACACTCTTCACTATATCCATGTACACTGCTTTTTTTCTCATAAATTAGAATAATTCACGAAAATACATGAAATTTTCTCAATCTTTAAACCCGGTAAAAAGAACATATATGAAATTACTGATCGCGAAAAAGTATTTACCCTTTACAAATATGAACATTTCCACATATAAAATAAATAAAATATCCAAAAACTTTTATCTCTAAATCATCTATTACATTATACACGTCACTAACGAATTCATACCGCAAGCATTACAAATACTTAGTATCAAATATTTAAATTATTTCCATGCACGTTACTTCAACTAAAACGTATACCAAATTCCTACAAACATAAAATTCACAAAAATAACTATCATTTAATTAAAATATAATTAATTCAAAACACTACTTAAAAATTAAATGAGCACATCATTAAATTAATAAAAATTACCTTAATTATTACTCTAAACTAATCATTGCTAAAACAATTTTCCCAATAATACAAATTCTTTCCACCTTACATTAGAAAATGCATAAAAAATAATATCCTCAAATAATTAAAAATACTAACTTACCTAATCTTCTCAGAATCTTGATACGTGGCGGATAACACTTTTCTATTTCATTCATAAAAATTATTGAAAGATTTTTTCTGCGAATTTTTCCTCCATACTTCTCTGCTAAATAAAAGCAAACTTCTCTTATCACAATGCCTAAATACCATTTCGAATTCACTTTAGTTAGGGCCATGGGATCCAAAATTAAACAACACTGTTTCACACAACCGAATAAAGCTAAATACAAAATTTCCACATTTTTTCCCGATTTCCCCCCTTTTCCGATTAAAGAAACCATAATTCGTCCATTAATATCACATGACATATCCCATGATCTCTCATTTCCCTCATGCAAAATATGCGTATCGAACTGAGTAACTGCTACATTATTACCAAAGTCCCAGGTAATACCTTATCGCCTCCAAAATGTCGCCAACTACAGTTACATATTGTAAAGATCAACCAATAAACAGTCTTTCTCTAATTTCAACATTTCTAGTCTGCTACGATAAATTCTTGATGAACACTACCGTAAATGAATTTATGGCAGTGATTATGTATGAGTAATGAAATTTACAAAAGGTTAATATTGTAAATTAGAAAATATAATATTAATGTATTAAACATTACCATTTTGGTTTAATCCTAGTATCCGGTGCACACGGGATTTGGCTACTTTTGGCGACTTTTATGATGAGCAGTAAAAACGGGACATATACGATGAGTAGTAAACTGGTATTCAAAGAATATATATAGTTATACATAGTATATACTATGTATATAGTGATAGTATATAGTGTATAGTATACTATCACTATATATTCATAGACGTTCTTTTGGTAATTTTTGGTGTTGGCGATAATTTTCAAAATCGCGCCAAGGCTGCACCGTATACTAGGATTTTACCAATATTTTAAGTAGTTAGTTAATATTTATATTATATTAGTACTTAGCTAATATTTTAAATTTACAAAAGGTTAAATTTTATGTTATGAATAATGAAATTTACAAGAGGTTCATAAATGCATTTCAAACTACTAGTATATGTTACTTTAGTTTCTTAGATTCTGTTATTAAAGAAAGTAAAAAAATATTTCAAAGTGAAGGAAATGAATAAATTATAAGAGCAAGTTTTTGTAGCAAGCATTAGAAATTTTATGATTAAATTTTGTAAATGTAAAAATATTAAGAAGTGTGTATTTTTTAATCCCTAATTTATTACAGTAATTTATGTTTATAATTTAAAAGTTAAATTAATATCATAATGAGAAAATTTGTGCAATGGTATAATACAACAATCATCATAAATGATGATTTCTGTGAAAAATTCGAACTGTCATTGGAATCCTAGGTTGGAGTGATAAGCCACTGAACAGTGGTAGTTCAGGCTGGCTATATGGGAGTTTTTGTGGTTTTCGTATATGTAATGTGAATTTGATCCAGTTTCTCTTAAAAAGTACTTTATGAAGGCATCCTTCTTCTGCTAGCCAGCATATATATTTATTTTCTATTCATAATTCCTCTATTTCTTATTCTTAATTCTAAATCTTACTTCTGAGGTGAAGAAGTGTTGCATCTATAGGTCGAAAAATATGGTCAATATGTTTGCAAAATCCTGTTCAGTTTTGGACAGCATTTAAATAAAATAAATTGTATATGAGCAACAAAATGCATGCATTTCATGAGTGAAAATATCAGGCACAAGTATTAACTTCTTTTTGTACCAGAGTATTTTATCTGGGATCTTACTATCAGTTTCATCCTCCATTTTCCACCAAATCTAAATGAGTTTTAGTTTGTATACAGTAAAAGTGTTATTTGGAACCAAATCCGAAATCTAAATCCGGACTCAAAGCTAAAAACTTTCTGCGCATGTGCCGCGTTAGCACATGCGCACAGGCGTTTTACGCGAGCGCGTA